GTGTTTGGTGCATATATATTTATGATTGTCATCTCTTCCTCTTGGATTGTTCCCTTTACAAGGATGTAGTGTCCTTTGTCTCTCTTAATTTGAGTTGGTTTGAAATCCACCTGATCTCCAAAGAGGATAGCTAGTCCTGCTTTTTTTCAGGTTCCTGTCGCATGGAGTATTGTTTTCCACCCTTTAACTTTCAGTCTATGAGTTCGTTTTTGAATTAAGTGTGTTTCTTGTATGCAGCATATTTTTGGATCTTGCCCCTTGATCCATTCTGCCAGTCTATTTCTTTTGATTGGTGAATTGAGACCATTAACATTGATGGTTATAACTCATACATGTTGACTTATCATTGTCATGACTTTTTCTTTTTGTTGGATTCTCCCCCTTTGCATTTAATTTCTTGTCATGCCCGATGGATTCATTGTGCTGGGCTTCCTGGGGTTGTGATCCTTGTCTTTTCCTAGGTTATTGTCTAAAAATTTTGTAGTGCTGGTTTTGTATTCATGAAGTTCCTAAGGTGCTCTTTTTCATAAAATTATCTTTTTTCTCCATTAATTTTGAAAGATAGTTTTTCTGGGTACATCAATGTGGATTGGAGGCTGTTTTCCTTTAGGGCTTAAAATTCATCACTCCAAGGTCTTCTTGGCCTTGAGCGTTTGCACTGAGAAGTCTGCTGTTTTTCTGATGGGCTTTCCTTTGTATGTGATTTGTTTCTTTTCTCTAACTGCTTGTAGAATTTTGTTCTTCTCTTGAGTTTCTGGAATCTTAACAATTATATGCCTATGTGTACATTTTTTTTTTGATCAAGGCTATTTGGAGTCCTATATGCCTTACTTATCTGTATGTCAAGTTCTATTCTCCTGCTTGGGAATTTTTCTGCCATCATTTCTGTGAACATTTTTTTCATGTCCTCTGCACTCTCTCCTGTTTCTTTGTTGACTCCAGTCAGTCTAATGTTATTCTTCTTTGCATTGTCTAGCAGCTGCTGGATTGATTTCTCATGGTCCCTTAGTATTTTAAAGCAATTTTTCTTTTCCCGGTCACTAATTGCAATCTTATCTTCTATGTCTGAAATTCTGTCCTCACATTGGCTCATTCTGCTGTGTAGACTTTCAATGGAATTTTTAATCTCCTGGAAATCTGTTTCCATCTGTTTTATGGATTGCATTTGTTTCCTATGCTGGGATTCCATCATGTTTCTCAACTCCTCTATTTTTTATCTATTTCTGCTCTAGACTTATTAATCATGTCTTGCACTATACACACAATCTCTGTTATCTGAGAAATTATTTCTGATTTCATATTTTCCAGATCCTCTTTTGTTGCCAGTTGAGAGAGTCCAGGTGGTTGAGTATCAGGTTGTTCCATCTTGTTTCCTTTTGGTGTTGCTTTAGGTGATCTGGAAGTCTGGCTTTGAGAGTTGTTAACGTGTCTTCTCATTTCAGTGGGGTGTGGGGTGGGTGGGTTGTGCTGCTGGCACCCAGGCAGCTCACCTCCTTGGTGCTGGGGTGTACTCTGTTCCTCAGTGCCGGCGGTGGTGGTATGTCAGCTGAGAAGGCTCCTCCTTGGTGTTGGGGGCGACTCTGCTCCTCAGCGCTGGGGGCGGTGGTACTTCAGCCCAAAAGCATAAGGGCATATTTCTAACAAGTATATCCAACAGTATGTTTTAAAGTATATTTGCCTATGTATCAATTTGGATGTACTGTGTGTGTGTACGTGTGTATGTGCGTGTTGCTAGGAGTTGAACCTAAGGCCTCATACAGGTTAGACAAACTATCTACTACTGAGGTCCACCCAGCCCTGAATCTTTGTATTAAAGTTTAAAAGGAGATTTGACTTTAAGTCATTTCCAATTTATGTAATTTATGCTATATAATTTCAAACACTTTAATTTACAGAAAGCAAATGAAGAACACCATCGTTTATTGAAAGGGACACCTTTCAAGTTAAATCTTTATCCAAGGGAATATTTTGACACTAATGCTTATTTTTCTGATAAACCTTTACCTCCAATTAAAACTGAAGAGAAGAAAAAATTACTTCCAAATCCTTTTAAACCTTCTTCTCCTGGTAAAAAGGTAAGTTAAACATTTTATTTTATTTTTTTAAGACAAGGTCTCACTATGTATATTAGCCTGGCCTCAAACTTGCAATGATCCTCCTGCCTCTGCCTCCCAAGTGCTAGGATTACAGGTGTGCCCACCACACCCAGTTTAAAATTTTAGAATAAAAAATTTTAGAATAAAAATATTTTAGAATAAAAATATAAAAAAATAAAATAAAAATTATTTTATCACCCATTTGAATAATAAATTTTTCTTTGTGTAGATGCCAAGAATCATAAGACCCATTTTTACAAAATTATATAAGGCCACAAAGCTAGCTAATAGAAGGAATAGAAAGCTTGTAGTGAAATAATTACAAATCATTTCAAATGTTTTTGAATTTACACTAAATTTTTGAAATGACTCTTTAGTCTTAAGGCCTAGTTTCTTTTAAGCCATAAAAAACCTAACCATCTTTAATTTTTAAAATGATGACTAAAACTATTTCCCTGCTCCAGAAATTTACAACCAGTGAAAATAAAAATAAAAATACTCTGACAGTTTGGAAATCTTGCTTTATCCTTTGACTTTTTTTCTTTCTTTCTTTCTGTGAATGACCCATTCATTTTCTCTGTGGATTTTCTCTTAGGATCTTTGTATTTTTCTAATTGACTTGAAAAATCTGTTCACATATTAAGGATACTGTTTTTTTGTCAACTTTGTTGAAATTTATTTTTCTAGTCAATTGGATCTTTGACTTTGGTTATGCCATTTTGTGGTGTTCAGAAATCTAATAATTTGATATTGTCAAATTTATCAATCCTTATGTTGAGGTTTATATAATTTTTTAAATGGCTTTCTTTACCGTCAATATCAGAATAATATGCTTTCTTGATTTCTTATATTAGCTTTATGTTTTTCTTTTTAAATCTTTAAATGTATTATACTTTAAAGAGTGTGGTAAGGATTCAGCTTTCACATTTTTCAAAATGTAGTTTTGGAGGCATGATGAAACTTTGAGGATGATGGAAATGTTCTGCATCTTGGGTGTAGTGGCAGTTTCAAGGATATCAAAACTCACAGAATTGTACACTTTAAATTGGTACAGTTTATTCTATGTCAGAATGCAATAAAACTGATTAAAAAACATTTTTTCCTAATCTCCTTGATAGAACAATTCATTTTAACACCTCTACTTTGAAATACTACCATTATGATATCAAATTTCTTGTTCTTGAGTATGTATTTTTGAATTTTCATTCTATTTGAGTGATCTGTTTATTTCTGCTAGGTCACTTTTAATTACTATTAAATGTAATATTAAGTGGTCTAATCTCTTCTTGTTACTCTTTGAATCCAATCCATTAGCTATTATCTTATTTTTATTTTCTAGAATTTAATTATTCTGTAAAGTTAAAAAGGAAAACCAAACAAGTCTTA